GGCCACTTCTTATCACCTCCATCTCAGTCGCTTATGCTCAGGCTTTCTGAACGAATACATCTTTCTGATCCGCTGCATGCTGCCTGCGCTGATTCCTGTGCATCTGATTCCTGCTGCCCTGCTCTTTGTGAGCGGAGTTTGAGCAAATCTCTCATTGCTAACTGTGTAGCCTGATCAAACTAAACTACTTTCATCTTTTTAACCCAACGGGCCGGAATCTCTGAGTGCTCAATGTACTCAGCCACATATATTGACACTTTTATCAGTGATTGTTCTGTTTTCTTTCGGATTACGCGATTAGTCATAAGTGAAAGGCATCAGTACTTTACCATTGATTTGTACAGTGTGTTAATTAATGTGTCCCAGAAGGGCTTTAATCTGCTAATTTTATTTTTTCTCTAGGAAACAGTCTGGTGACACTTCTCTGTCATCTTTTCAATGTGTATGGGCTTATTCGTCATTTCCAGTTAGATATGGTCAAATTGCATAGATTTTTTGGTAAGTTAAATACGTTTTAATATTGCTTTACAAAATCTGGAAATTCCTCTCATGTAGGCAGCTTAAGTTGATCTTCATTCTTGGTGACCCTCTCCATTCTCCAGTGGCCATTTAAGGATCATGTATTTATAGGGTTTTACCAGAGCACCCATCTGTTAGGCTTTGCCCCCAGATCCTCTGGGACATGTCAATCAAACCGTGTCCCTGCTGTGTGTCCAGGGATGGTCCAGGAGGACTACCACAGCCAGAACCCTTACCACAATGCCATTCATGCCACAGATGTCACCCAGGCAATGCATTGCTACTTACAGGAGCCTAAGGTGGGCAAAAAGGGGTTTTTGCCAGCGACTTGGTTGATAGTAGGGGCACAGGCAGATGGGCAGAAAGAAAGGCAGTTGTGTAGACAGCTCATGCTGGGTCCTCTGCCTCCTGTAGATCGCTCACCACCTCACGCCACTGGATGTTTTCTTGGCCCTTTTGGCGGCAGCCGCCCACGACGTAGACCACCCCGGGGTCAACCAATCCTTCTTGATCAAGACCAAACACCATCTGGCCAGCCTGTACCAGGTCTGCCTCCATGGTCTGCCTCCATGGTCTGCCTCCATTTCCCCTGGCAGCGATGACCCTTCTCAGATCTGCATCTGTGTGTGTGAGGGGTATGTGACTCACACGCTCATCTCCTTCAAATCACAGAATTCCTCAGTGCTGGAGAATCACCACTGGCGCTCCCTAGTGGGCATGCTCCGGGAGTGCAGCCTGCTGTCCCATCTTCCCCCAAGTACCTTGTGAGTTTCTGTCTCTTCCAAGTCCCTCGGGGCCTTGAATTTGTGCTTATTAAGCATGGTGCAGTTTCGTACCATGGTGAAGAATAATAGGCCCAGAACAACTGAACTTAGGAAGCTGGTTATGATATTTTCAAACATAGTATAGCTGGCCTACCTTGAAAAGGAGCAAATCTGTCACCCCCTGCAGGCGAGACATAGAACAGCAGCTGGGCTCACTCATCCTAGCCACTGACATCAGCCGCCAAAATGAGTTCTTGGGACGCTTCAAATCCCACCTGGACAACAAAGACCTGCAGCTGGAAGATGCTGGACATCGACACTTCATGCTGCAGGTGAACCCTGATCTCTTCCCCCATGAACTCTTAAACATTTAAGATGACATTGGAAAAATATGTGATGTTCCAGAAGGCACACGAAGTCACAAGACATAGGGATTTAGATGGAAGAAAGCAGTTTTTTAGCAGGCTTGGGATATGACAGGTAGTCAGAATACAGTAAGTGCCCAAGATACGAACCAGTTGTGTTCTGTGAGTGGGTTCACAAGTCCAAATGTTCATAAGTGCAACAAAGTTAGCCTGAGCATCCAGCTGATGGGGCTCCAGCCCCCAACCCTCAGCTCCTACCAAACATGAACACAAACAGCTATTTCTACATAAGAAAATGCTCTCAAAAGTTCATCTCTGTATTTTTTTTTATACATTTCTGGTGTATTTTAACCTGAAACAACTGAGAATTTTTTATTTCCATCGCTTTCCGTCAGTTAATCTCACCGTTTACCATTATCGAGCTGCTCTACACTGCGTATATACACCTAGCCTACCGCTCTCCTCGTTTACATAAAATAATGCTTTTAAGATTTAATATTTGTATTCTTGTTATTGATTTCGTGTGCATTTTAGCAACCAACAACTGAGAGTTCATTTTTTCCATTGTTTTAAGTCAGTTGATAAGTCTACGTTACTGCATCAAGAATACTCATTCACACCTACCTCTCTCTCCTCCCCCAATCCTCAACTCCTATCAAGAATACTCATTCACACCTACCTCTCTCTCCTCCCCCAATCCTCAACTCCTATCAAGAATACTCATTCACACCTACCTCTCTCTCCTCCCCCAATCCTCAACTCCTATCAAGAATACTCATTCACACCTACCTCTCTCTCTCTGCATTCCCATCTTTGAAAGTTCATATCTTAAATATTTCTATGTTGCTCTGTAAGTCAATGTTTTTCATCCCAGTTCTCAGAGACTGCCAGACAGTCCACATTTTTGCTCCCTCCCAGATCCCAGCCAATCATGTACAGTGTACATGATTGGCTGGGATCTGGGAGGGAGCAAAAATGTGGACTGTCTGGAGGTCGCTGCGGACTGGGTTACGAAACACTGATATGAACAATTGCATAGAACTATCACTTGGAAGGACTTGTTCCCCAACCTTGCCCCTCCCCCGAAGCATCTGATGTCTTTCCATCCTGCTGCATCATAGCCTTTTAGCACAGGCTGTCAGTGTCCTGTCGGTAGCCCATTGGTGGCTCGGCTCATGCTGCCCACTTGTCACCCATCCAGATGGCCCTGAAGTGCGCAGACGTCTGCAACCCATGTCGCGACTGGGAGCTGAGCAGCCAGTGGAGCGAGAGAGTGTGCGAGGAGTTCTACAGACAAGGTCAGTCACATGGCTGCCAGCAGCTCGACCCTGCCTGCCACTTCGATGCACCCGTAGGCTCTGAGACCGCGTGTGTCCTACACGGCTCCGCCGGAGGACAGAAAGTGCCCTGAAAAAACAGGAAGAGCCCATTTCCTAAAGCCATTACTGGATGGTCACGTAGCACCATGCGCTGGGCGCATTACCATTTCCCCAAAGAATCCTGTGATGCTAACTCTCCTTCATGACTGTATTCTAGGGTCAGAGTCGCCTGCTATCACAGTAGCTGTTCTCAGCTAAAATGAAACTGGGACAGAGATGAAGGAGGCAAAATGACGACCACGAACGTCACCAGCTCCCATTAGCTCGTGACAAATAAGTCTAAATTGCCCGTAGTGTGTGTGCCCTGCAATGGACTGGCATCCTGTCCTGTGCCGCAGCCCTGTGCTCTATACTGCCTGGGATAGGGTCGCCCTGTGACCTCAACCACAATTATCAGTTAGAAGATGGATGGATGACTGCCAATGAGATTTAACCCCCCCCCCCCAGGCATCATTATTCTGTCAGTAGGACGTGCTTCAATCAGTTGACGGCTCCTGTCCAAGCTTCCTACCCACCTGGAGAAAATAATCACTCTTTGCCAAGGTTTCACGCAGGAACACGTAGATCCCCATGAAGGGCACTAGCTGACATCAGGCACATCTTATCTGCCGACATCTGCTCATGCTGCACATCTTACAGGTGACCTTGAGAGGAAGTGCCACCTTGAGATCAGCCCTCTGTGTGACCAGCAGCTGGAGACCATTCCCGTCATTCAGATAGGTAGTCCCTGACCATCTCTGCCAATAATGCGACTGCATTCTGTAGCCAGCCACCTTGTGAGCTAACAGTGGCACCCTCCCCTGTCCCTCAGGTTTCATCACTTACATCGTGGAGCCGCTGTTTGAGGAGTGGATGCGCTTTACCAATGGAAGCCTCCTGGCAAACAACATGCTGGGACACCTGAAGAGGAACAAGGCTCTGTGGAGGCAGCTGCTTCATACACAGCACAAGCAGGCTGCGGGACGGGCCACCCCTTCTCGGGGGGGCACGGGGGTCCCTTAGATGCTTCCCCATGAATGTCTGTCTCACTCCGGTGGTGGTTTCCTTGTAAAGCTGCAAACAGCCAGGCTGCCTTCTGGTATGCTTCAGAGTCAGAGCTTGCGACTGGCCAATCAGAGCTCGCTAGGCTGCAGCAACCAATCAGCCCCTCTCCTACCTCAGTTTCTGTCACGGTCCACAGGGCTGGTATTAATTGGGAGGCAGCCCGGGTATGTTTTCGTCGCAGAGTTCTCTGAGAACGAGTATTCCACGTCCCATGATTCAACTCTACTGCAAACGGTGGACCAAAATGACCTCTCTAGAGTGTCGAAGCTGCCAGACTGCACCACGGAACTGGAGTAGCGTGTGTCTGTAGCGGGGAGCTTGTGAAAAATCCCTCAAGAGCACGACTGCAACTCTTCACCTTTTAAAATGTGCTCCAGTGTTACATTGAACTTTCCTCTTCACATCATTTCTAAATGGGACCAGAGGAGCCCTCAGAAACAGCACTCGCACATTTTACCACAAATTCCTGATTTTTACAAATGATCAATAAGCTGATCTGTGTGTGTTTATGTGTGTATATATATATACGTGTATTTTTTCCCCTGTGTGTACATATCCACCCTGGTTCTCATAACAAATGCCTGAACACTGGTACCTGCTTAGAACAAAGGGGACTTGTGACAAATATGGTCACTTTTAAAACCAGCTTCATACGTCACCCGTTTGGCCTGATTACTACACCTTGTGCAAATACAGTGGCAACCTTAACATGACTTTTATAACTATTCATATTGCATTTTTCACTATGCACTACCCAACTGTTCCTGTGTTTCTAATATAAACTACAAAATACAGTCCAATACAAAGAATCATCACATTTCCCTTATTGTTGCAATACACCTGGCTGCACCAGTGCTCACTGCACGGATGCAGTTACCGCACACTGACCACAGATGAGCACAAACACAGGTCACAGCAGGAGCGTACGGTTTGTCTTAAAGCAGCCATGTTGATGGTACTGGCCGATTGGCAGTTTCCCATGGCGATGCATGATTTATTAAGGTGCAGGTATCCAACAACTGACCAGTAACACTTCAAACGATATGTACAAAAGGCAGGCAGCTCAAAGCCCCAGAACAGTCTCTCAGAAGTTACAACAAAGTCACAATACAACAGTATATTACACTACAGCAGTATCATTAGAGTAGGTCTTGTGATTTCAGAGGGATTCTTGTTGAAGTGCATTTTAATATTTACACACAAAAATGTTATTCTAGCAGATACCAGGGAAAAGGCAAACCTGTGCATTTTATACAGGAAATTCTCCTGCAAAACAGGCACACAAAGGAGCAAGACTGCTAACCGTTTACAATTCCAATGCAAGCTGAACGCTGCTGGTTCCTGTGTCACAATATCCATAAACTCCTCACCCTGACAGTCATACGCCATCCAGAAAGAGCACAAGGTTTCAAATGCAGAGCTGCGGCGAGGCTTTAACCAGTACACATAGCTTCCTTATTCAGTGCCTCATACAGTTTGCCTGGACATACTACTTCCTAACCTGAGCTCACAATGAAACAGGTCATCGCAGTAAATTCCTGAATCTCTTCCTATAGATGGTATTGTTTTTGGAGTGCATTTCTGAAATTAGAAGCTCAATGGAATATATCAAAATGTATTTAAGATATAAAGGCGTTATAGAATTGTGGCAGACCGAGCAACATTAACACACACAGCAACCAGAGAACGTCAGAATCTTTATGTTGGAGTCGGCACACAGAAGTCTGTATGTGTCCAGGAGCAGCAGAGTTCGGAGTGAAAGCCTTGTTCTGATTAGTTGCCGGCTGAACAGGATTTCACAAATACAGCCTGCCATGATCACGCCTCACATGCTGAGGGATCTGAAACGGGACAAGACACAATGAGTAAATATGCACTGCAGCTCTTAAGTCAACAGGGTAGCCTGTGTGTAACACGACAAACCAGCATATGGAATAAGGGTTAACAAATGGAGGAGATTAACAGTCAAATACAGAAATGTCATCATGCTCTTTCAAGGACATATTACTCAAGTTCAAAATTTAACGTAATTGGTGAAACAGCGACCTCTGCTGAAATAAAGCTAGTATTACATAGAACTATACAGAATAGATCATTTGTCAATTAAAAGAGCTGCATAAAATAAAAGACTACCTACCATATAAACAGGCAGACCAACAAAGACCTTTCCATAAGCATTTACCCACAATCCTTCCTGCCTTGGAGAACAGTGAATTATGAACTCACACAGGGCACCTCGGGGCTTCCGAAAGGGGAGAGCTCAGAGGAGCAGTTCTCCTTGTCAAAAGAGTCCTCCAGCTGCCGGCATGCAAACTTCTTTTTTAGCGCTTCGGCTATGATGGAAGCAGGATCCGAGGGCAAGGTCTTCCCCAGCGTCCTTCGCCTCAGTCTCACAGGGGTCCCACCTGGCGACCTTGGTGGATTGACAACCAAGAAACTTGCATTAGCTAGCTTAGCATTGTCATGCATTTCATTGAGGGTTGCCACAATTTATGAATGATATTCTGGCTCACACATGTGTCAAGTGGTATCCCTCAGCCTCACTGCTCATCCCAGCTCATACCTCTCCACCGCACGTAGTTTGACCTGGTTCAGATCCTTCAGCACCTCCAGCATGCTGGGGCCTTTACTGGGTTCTGATCCAGCTGCCTGGCTACAATGATTCTTCTTCTGCTCGGGGTCACCTGTCTGGGACTGTATGGCAAAGGCCGAGAGTGAAGTCTTCTCTGATCTATTTACAGACTCATAACTGGAAGGTGGAGGTGGTGGAGGAGGAGGAGGAGGAGGGGGAGGAGGAGGGAAACAGCGAGGAGTCGACGTGAGGACTGGAAGAGGAGGAGCAGGGAGAGGAGCCCCAGTGATCTCCAAACTGTTCTGGGACATATCAGGACCTAAAAAGAAAGGTAACAATGTTGCTTTGCCACTATGGAGATTGCTACCTGGCATCTGAAGTATTAGATTTTTTAATATTCACACCTCACTCATTGATTTAGTTAACATTTTATAAAGTACTAGATCCTGCTTCTTAACACCATCTGGCAGCTAGATGGGTGTAATGAAATTAAAAAAAAAAAAAAAACACCAGCAGGGTTGGAAAGAGCAGTACCAGCACACACCTATCGGGGCACTAACGATGACGGCGATCTGAGCCCGTAAACGGAGCAGCTCCTCTTCGAGCGCTGTGATCTTCTTCAATGCCACCGCCCTTTCAGGGCCAACCTCTACTGCAGCACAGTGGCGAAGTCCGTGTCCACTGGGAAGGTGGATGCCACTCCTGTAATACGATACACATCCAACATTGCAACTGGGGTAAATATCACCAGCGTGTTAGAGGCTGACGAAAAAAAAAAAAAAATACTTCAGACAAAACACGCACACTCACAACATTCAAGATTCAGGAGTTTGCCATATGTACAGTAAACCATTAGTTACACTGTATGATAAAAATATGACTTTGCATATCCTTCCAGCCACTGGTAAACACAAATTAAACAGAAATTAAGGTGCTTCAATAAGATAATAAAGTAAAATAAATACGTGCACAGTGCAATGCAAACATAGAGTATAATATAAACATGTAATGCAAGTATTATGGTGCAATATCGGCAGAACTAGGGGCAAACCCAGCCCCTCAGTGACTGAGTGTAAAGTAAAACACTCTGCTTTATCAGTGTTAGATTACATTACCTAAACTTTGCAACGGTTTCGTTGTCATTTCTAACAACCCACATTACATCGGCGAAAGACGGTATGGTGGGACTCTCCAAGTCAAAGCCGACCCTTCCATGAGTCGCATGTGTCAGGAAGGGGACCTGTGAACGAGCATAATGTGAAACCTCCAGAAGCAAGTATCGCTATATATTCAACCCCATTTACTACATACGTAAACCATCATATTTGCCTGTCTATACCGTACTTGAAAATGAACTCGTGGACGAGGACTCAAGGGAAGGTTGCTTCCAATCAAACGAACAATGCTGCGATACTGCCCACATAATTTGCTCTGGCATACAGGCAATAACTGAAAAAGATGGATCAAATTCACAGCAGTAGTTTAATAAGCAATATTTGGTTACTTTCAGTATAAGCCATTTTAAATACTAAATATAGCAAAATAAAAACTCGGTATTACCATGTCTGCTGGAAGTCCAAAGTATTCAAGCACATACCGTAGAAAATCAAGAATGCCAATCAAGGGAGACATTGCAGATGTTATTTAAAGCTAACAGTAATACCGAAGTTCAAACGACGCTACATTAGCAGCTACTCAGTCTTGATGACCATATTGCAAATATGCAAAAGGAACGCGTAAAAGCTTGCAATTAATGCCCGAAGATCAACCGAATCCCGATCGTAAAAAATGACAATTACAATCACTGCTTCTAGAAATAAACAGCAAATTACTGCCTGTTAACAAATAACGCACTGAGTGACTACATAGCAGAAGTCATACGATAGAAGCTTCCCCAGCTTCCCCCTAACAGTAGCCACGCTTCCAGGTAAAAGGAACTCAAATAAAGCCGCGTCAACAAACAGCACACTGAGTGGGTCGCTTCAGTATGCTGAAAAAATAAACCAATGAGCATGCAGTACAGTTCGAGGTCAGCTTAGCGGGCTAGCCAATCGGCTTGTACTTCGTAAAATTCGTACTAAATTTAATTTCGGACTTTGCAAGGATATCGGGTGTTGGGTAAGGACAGTAAAACGATCTTTTTTTAGTTACGTCTTATACCTGTTATATTTTTAAAATGTGACTATAACCCCGATAGTCACAGCACTATAATCCTTCGTAATATTTGACGCGGTACATGCGATATATATCAGGATGTACAGTTACTAGTCTGTTGGTAATTCGCTGTTCGTCTACCAGTATAATTATCATTATCGCAGTTTATTTCGGTGACTTATTAAATGCGATTCTTTGCTGTCACCTAAAATGGAAATATACACCGTATGTATGGGATTATATTGTGGCAAAATGTGATCCTGTGAAATCGTGTTTTGCCATGTATTGCTGTGTGTTTTTACATTATTGTTTGGTTTTTTATACGTTTTTCTGCATTTTAGTTTTGAATATTCTTTTGTGACTCTTTTGTCTGTGAAAGACGCTTAATAAATGAACTATACTTACCTGCTTACTTACTTGGTTGTGTTTCCTTGAAACGCTGCTGTGTATAAGGGTGATGGCTGTACATTTAACACGCATCTAAGGTAATGGGCACCGTTTTAATATCCCCCAGAAACATGATGGACGCGCTTTCAGTCGTTAATCAACTGCGGGATTTGGCGTCGGAGCCGCAGAACAGGGAGCCCATAGTCCAGGACCAAGGCTGTCTTCCCGGCCTGGTTCTGTTTCTGGATCACCAAGATTCCCACGTACTGCTATCTACGCTACAGGTTGGCATTACCGCTCATATTTGCACGCAGTTGGAAATATTTCGAGCTCCTCTATGTGCCCGAGCCGGTAAACTTTTTATTCTGTTTTGTCAGACTCTTCGTTATCTTGCCGAGTCCCCCCTAAACAGGGATAAAATGAAGAATGAACTGGGCATGATGGTGAGCCTGGAAAACCTTGTGCAACGGTTAGTCTCATTTTAAAGCATTGGGGTATATCTTTAGTCTTTTTGGGATTAACTTTTAGGGGCAAAAAGCTCTCATGCTTTTACCACAGACCATTGAATACCACAACATTAGCAAAAAACAATCTGAGTGATATGCCAGGACATACAGTTATCAAGTTGGAACAGCCAAAAGGGGAAAAAAGGTTCTGGATTCCTAGTATGGCTTTCTGTGGCTTCTTATTGACATTATAATTAATTTTTTGCTCTCTTTCAGTAGACGTGGACAGAATGAGGTGTGTGATTTAGCCAGAGAAGTCTCTGGTTTGTTGAGTAAACCTCTCCATACTGGGACCCTCCAAACCCCTGAGCAGCCAAAACGAGCCAAGTCACAGTTCTTCATCAACAGCACCAACAAAAAGGCCAAGTCCGTTACCCTTCACATACAGGGCCTGGACAGTGTGGTATGTTTAGACCGCCTAACTTGGAGTAGGTACCGGCAGGTGATAATTGGCCCAGGTTACATTTAATGAGTCAGAATGTTTTAATTTGATACCAAATAAAGAAACTAAATATTTCAAGTCATAAGCCTCACACCTCTGGCTCCGGGGTTTGAGTCTCCGCTATGGCTCCATGTTTGTGGAGTTAGCATGTTCTCCCCATGTCGTTAAGGAGTTTTCTCCCCACAGTTCAAAAACAAACTGAGGTTAATTGGAGTTACCAAATTGCCCGTAGGTGTGCATTTGTGAGTGAATGTATGTGTGGATTTCTATACAAATCTCCTGAATAACTTTGTTTTTTTGAGCTTTATTTTGGTACCTAGTTTAATGGGTTTTTTGTGGCTTCTGTGAGGAAGTTGAGAATAAAATTGAACTATATTTTTGGTTGAACTATTGAATAATTTCAATGGATAATCAGAGTGCGGCTTTTGAAAGGAATAGGTAAGGCATGGGTTAGCAAAGACATTTTCATGACAAAAATCATATAAATGTGACATTTCTGTACAAAGAAATTAGAAGTTTACTCTGAAGGGTTTTAGGCCAGTTTTTATACTTTTCTCTAATCAGTGCGCAAACCTGCCAGTTCCTGATTGGAGGTGTCATGGCTGTTTTGCTGTATGGTGGTGATTGAGGCCTTTAACCCGATATGCAGGTCCATCGCGGCCTCTGTGAAGAAGCTCTGCTCAAGGTCAAAGGGGTCATCAGCTTTACCTTCCAAATGGCGCTGAAGAGGTGCACTGTACGCATCCGGTCCGACCTGCCCCCCGAGGTGAGAAACGAGCGATGGACATACTCAAACTTAATTTCATTAACTCACAAGAGAAAATCAATTAATTTGTTTTCCATTATTTCTTATAGGAAAAATTCGATCAGAACTCGAACTTTTTAGGATTCGATCCGGAGTCCGGAACAGATTAAGTTTGAGAACCGAGGTACCACTGTACTTAAAGGCGCATGGCTGGGACCAGTGGACCTCGTCTGCTATATACGATATTCCGTTGTAAGCGAGTCCACTATAGTGATGTGGTTACTACCGAGTACTCGGCAGTCCAGTATTCGTTACTTAATACTCGTTACCTAATACTCGTTACTACAATGAACTTAAGATGTACGTATATCTTCTGTTGTTAGAACAGCGATGGGCGACTAATTTTCCCGGCCAGTCTGTGCAGTGACTGATCACGCAAAACCCTCTCATAAGAAGAGAATTTCATATTAATTTGTGCACTAATATCAATTGGTCGCTCATTCATGAATGGCGAGGTCATGACTAAAAGGATTTCCAATTACGGACACTGATTAAGTGTGTGAGCTAATCCTTGTTTACGTAGAACAAACCTTCTCTGAGCAGGTTTGAGGATTTGGATGTGCTGCTATGACAACACATCCAGCAAGTTTTTCAAAAAACCGACAGATCTAGGATCATGCCAAATCGTCAACAATTGCATCCGGCTAAATGGGTAATCCATGTATGAAAAATACCTCCCTGTTCTTCCGCATGTGGGGTATTCTCTGTATGCCGCTTAAATTATCCAAGATAAAAAGCCTCATCTTAGATCAATTAATGGCGGTGAAAATCATCCGGGTAATTCGGTTCCTGAAATGCACTTCAGGAGTAGATTATCTTAGCTGGATCCAATCATCCAAGATGACTGCGCACGCCGCGCTGCTTAAAAAGCCTATATGTATCCAGTCTAGAAAACTTGATTGGCAAGTTCATTGGCTTCCGCAAAACGTCAAAAAACAGGGCGCAATCCGAGCAGGACCTTTGAATTCATCATACCCCTTTAATAAAAGATTTAATATGTACTAAAGGAAACTCATCAAAAGCGGCCCAAACCAAAAAAAGATGGCTGGCAAAAAGTGTCTGACAAATAAGAATTAGGTGATCAGTGGTCATTGTCTACACACCACAGCACACAGTGCACAACAATGAAATGTGTCCTCTGCATTTAACCCATATGTGACAATGTGACATAGCAGGGGGCAGCTAATTCAGCGCCCGGGGAGCAGTGCTGGGGGGCGGTACCTCGCTCAGGGTACCTCAGTGGTGCCTTGCTGGTCGGGGATTCGAACCTGCAATCTTTCAATTACAAGTGCGCTTCCTTAACCATCAAGCCACCACTGCCCACACTTTTTTTTTATTTTATTAAATGTGTAAGTAGTTGTTAGTTATTGTATTTATCACTATTACATTTCCAATGTTTCATAATTTTTTTTTTGTCATAATTACCGATCAAATACAAGGACAATCATGCAGGACATGGGAACATGTTAAACTGAAGTACAAACAGGACATATATATAAGCAGTATCTTTCGAAAAGAATATCATCCAACTGACCGATTCGATTTCTATGCATGGACACTGATTACATGTGCGAGCTAAACCTTGTTTACACAGAACAAACCTGCTCCGAGCAGCTTTGACGATTAGGATGTGTTGCTATAACAACACATCCAGCAAGAGTTTCGAAAAACCGACAGATCCAGGATCATGGCAAATCATCAACAATTTCATCTGGCTAAACGAGTAATCCACGTATGGAGAATACCCCCCAGATCGCAACAAAGCTTGCGTCACTTCTTTTGTCCACGCACCCATTATTTAAATTTTTTTACGTCCGTGGCGTAATAGGTCAACATGCGTAACGTACTGTTTCACCTTATACATCTTATTTGAAGTGTTTTTGCTTTTCTTCATATTTGCGTTGTCTGCACAGTTTAATGGGATTTTCCACTAAACAGTTTGCTTTGCCAGCTGGTAAATCACATTTGCTATCCTCACCCTCTGATGGTCTTACGCTCTTCCTATTGCAAAGGTTATGCGCATGACATCACAACCCACTGAGTGGCACCATTAGTGTTCAGCTTGAATGTCGCAAAAATACATCTAAAATGGGGAAGATCTGCCATGCTGCTGATTTGTACAAATCGATTTAACAAGAAATAGGAGTTATCTTTTTACAGACTGCCGAAAACTATAGTAAGTATCCGACGTGGATCGGTCGCAACATTTCATTCATACATTCAAAACATTTCAGAAGCTGTATTTTTGCATTGCAGTGCACTTAGCGTAGGCTACATAAACAGTGTACGTTTAATCAACGGCTGAAAAAAAAAAGTTTGTGAAATAAAACATTTGACTCTAGTGGCATCTGCTGGTGTTAAACGGTACTGCAATAAATTAATAAATTGACGCGAAGGTTCAGAATACAGAACATATTGCGACAAACTGAACCGCAATATGATTAATTGCTGCACTGGTACAGTGACGTCATGTAAGACGTATAGTAATCCAGCATGGGTTTGAGGATCCTTGTTCCTTTGCCTCGCAGTGTCTAGCATCCGCCATCGCCACCACCAAGGTGCTGACAGCCGAGCAGGTTGTGAAAAATGACGCAGGGGAAGAGGTGAGTCCACGTTTCTAGGCATCTGCTTTTAACATCACAGAAGGAGCTGCTTGCAGCCAGTCATGGTGGACTGTCTGTCCCTGAAGGTCATGGTCCCACTCGGCACCACAGCCGCTGCTGTGCAGGAGAACGTCCACCTGCCAGATTACCTGCCCGAGGATGAGAGCCCGGAGCGCAACACGGACAAGGCGATATCCCGGGTGGGCGCCAAGGCTGATGCCAGCGGAAGCTGGCTTAACGCTGCGGCTACCTTCCTCACCAGGACATTCTACTGGTGAAGCTCATCTTGCCGTTTGTTTGTTTTTTCCTGTCTTCCCTGTACATATCTTTTAATGTCTATGTGTGTTCTGTCTTGAATATTTGATTTTCACTTGACTTTCAAAAAAACTTGAATTGAAAGTCAAATAAAAGGAGTCTGATCTTATTTTCCACCCAGATTCCTTAAAGGCATTTATGCCACAATGCTGTTGAACTCTCAAATCTGATTGGTCAGAAGGGTGTTCATTAGTTGTGTATAGCTGCACACAGAGGGGTGAATCGCAGTAGTAAGTCAATTCTTTAATTATACTGTTACTTTAAATTGTTCAACAATCGGAATGTTAAGTTAGCAGAAATGGCAATTTCAAATTAACGACTGGTCTTGGCAACAAAATTTTTGAATTGACGACGGTGGCTTGGGTTGTTTCCAAGCAAAATGTTTGTTGCCAGAAGAAAGTGGTTCTAATACATGAATCTTGGCTCAAAAACATGAAAATGTCTTTAGGTACATATTTGTAAACTAGAGCTGTCAGGATTACTCGATTAAACTCGATTACTCTTATTAAAATCATGGATTAAAAATTTCCTTCTCGATTGCTCATCAGTACGGCAATAAGTAGACGTCATATTGATGGCGCATAGAAAACGAGGGTCCAAAGCACAACTGCAATGCAAATACATCTTAGAAGACCATTCAGGTTTGACAAACTCATCTGATGATGTGAGGTTAGCCATAGATATTCGCCATTTAGCATCTCCGAGTAGCCCGGCCTCTGTCAGCACTTCGACAAATCATTTTACTTACTTCGTACGATTCCTTTTTGTCAAAATAATTGCTGCTGAAAAGATCAGCCCCATCGCTTAGCCATATCAACTATATATTTTTTGTCAACGTATTGGGTGTTTTGGGCTGAACGCTACTGGAAAAAGTTCACGTTGAGAACTACATTTGAAAATTAACTGTATAGCCAAATGTAACTCATCTACAAATAGCCTGTCCAGTACATCAGGAATGCCAATAAATCACTTGCTTTTTCTCAGTATTGTCTCTAAGGAATACAAGATATTTCCATACAGTGGAAGACTGTCTTTTTGTGACCAGTTCTTGCACGTTTTTCTCCTTTTGACTTAATATCTCACAATTGTGCCACATGGTCTATCATTGAGTTTAACAGCAAGGAGGAGAATGATTATGACTGAGTGCATGCAGACCTCATGCGATAAACTTTTTTTTTTTGAACATGTACCACAATGTTGAAGAGGAACCATCATTAAAATTGCAGAGCTTGCGAAGTTTTGTTTCCTGTGAGGAAAAATGTTTGAGTGCAACTTATTGATGGTTTGAACCCAGCAGACTATCGCACATATAGTTTGAATAAAAGGTTTATTGTAGCAACATGGTTACTATAACTTAATCTGATACAACTGAAGGTAGCAAATAGTGCTTCTTAGTGGTTCCACATTTACTAATATAGATGCAGGTTTAGGGAAAAATGATCTTGTAACCAACTTAAATCAAGGAGAAAGCCTGTACCTGGCATTAGAGGTAATGGTCTCCACTGAAAGTAATCAGTATAGGAAGACTAATTTAAAGTCAACAAACAAGTGTAGAAAAATCTTAACTGAAAAAGCAATTATCGCTGGAACAGATTTTTCTTAAACCAAACCAAATATGAATGTTATGTACTCTCCACCTAACAGGTAAAGAGAGATCACTTGGGTCTTCACCACCGACGCCATAGTCAGACCGCAGCGCGACTACAAGTTCCTTACACTCTCACTCCACTTTCTCATCCTTCTGTGGGTCCTTCCTCTCCTCACCCTCTGCTCCTTCCTCCTCCTCTTCCTCCTCGTTACCTTCACACTGATACTTATCATGAGTCCACTTGGGACTGCTGCTGGATTTCCTGAAGGGGAATCGGCCCCTCCCACGCTGGAACAGGCCCCGCCCCCTTCCCCTCTTTACCCAGTAGTCCGTGCCGTCATCCCGGTCATCGTGCTGTGGAGGGTATGACAGCACAGGCATTACGTCCATATTTCACTTTTCTACATATGCTTTCTGTCATGCATGGGGTAAAGCAATGTAAATTTCGTTGTCAGGTTTACGCCAGACAGCTGTGGACAGTGCATGTGTAACCTGCTCTGGTGCAATATCACTGCTGTATGCATGCACCATCTGCATCCACAGCTAAATGTAGTATGAACACAAGCTTCTGCGGGCAGAAAGCCCAAAAGCGCACGCAGTAAAGTGTGGTATGAACTGGGTTTCAAGTGCCCCATTTTCATGTGAATCTTACAAGCACTGGAGTTCTCAGTGAACAATGTTTCCAAGGATACTGACCCAATCCAATCAAATTACAGGGCCAAATATCCAAGTCTCACATCCAATTACAAGCTTTCGACAGGGAGCCTGAGACTCACCAGGAAGTACTTCCTGCTCTTGGGTGTATATTCTGGGTCCCATTCTTCCTCCTTAGGTCTCTTCTGGAAAGGGGCGCTGGGAGGGGTTGGTCCAGAGCTGGGTGGAGGGAAGGCCCCCCGGCCCCGCACTCGCCCCCCTCTGATGCGGAACTGCTACAGTGCAAGAGAGGATTTGTCTGCATGACTCACCGGTCGCCATAGCAGCAGTGTACCTACACACCACCCTTCCCATCCCCACAAGGTATAACCCCCCCCCCCGCAGTACTTACAAAGGTTCCCCTGGGCCGCAGGGTACCCTGGAAGCCAGGGCCGTCCTTGAGCTCCGTCAGGGCTGCCCCCTCCTCCTCCCTGGCCCTGCGCTTCTCCCTGCTGTCCTCACGCGTCACTGACGACCCGGAGGACGACCTGGAACGCCCCCGCTCCTTGCTTTTGTGTTTGCTGCAAGATAAGTTGAGCACTCAGTCTCCAGGTAAGGAGTCCACCAGTCAAAGTTGCATGTACTTGGATTAACGATTCTGTTAGAGAGAGACCCGTACTGGTTTCCATGGTAACAGTTTGTCTACAGTAAAGGGGGAAAAAAAAAACTAGTACTAAAGGTGAAACATTCAGCATACTGAAATCTCCTTTGAAAGGATAGAGAATAAAAATGCAATACCATACTGCAGCTCTTACACAATGTGCTTAAGAAGTGCACTGCAATGAAGTCCAACCTTGTGCTGTTGCCTGGATTATATGACATTTTATTGTCATTTTTGTTTGCTAATCCCAAATGTCCTCATCCAACAAAAGGCGCAAAAAACTGATTACTGCTGTAAAACAAAATGGTCATTTTCATATAAATAGCAGCAAGGAATGATGAACAATTGTTGATATTAATAAAAAAGGCAATCATTAAACAGGAAAACACCTTTGACAGTAACATCCCCTGGTGTCAGACGTCTTACCTCTCATCCTTAAACGGTTTGTAATCTCTGGGTTCCTTGGTCAGTTTGTCCCCTTTCTTGGGCGGACTATGTTCCCGGGACATCCTGGCCTCATCGCGGTCCCGGCTCTGCTCGGTCCGCCGCCGATCGATATCGTACCGCAAATCAACAGAATCGCACCTCGATTTTTTTTCGTCCTATCAGAGCAAAGCAGTGTTGGAGCACCCATTAATTCTCGCTGTGTTAAAACGTGATCCGTGATACCTGACAGCCCTCCCCAGTAATAAAAAAAACACTCATGTACAACACACCTCAAACTGACTGGCAGCCTCACATATTTACACTGACTGCTCACTGCTGACCCCCTATGGACGTTAAAGGTGATGCAGTCCTTCCACAAACTAATTTTTAAGGTGTGACACCACATCACCGAAGGCTTCCATACCTTGGAATCTTCCTTGAATGTTCTTGCCTTCTTAAAAGCACTGGGGGAGACGTCAATCCTCCTTTTGATCAGAAATAAGAACAACTATGAATGATTGGTTAATATTTAATGCCAGCAAGACACTATTTTGTCATTTTTATTTATTGTTCTTTATCATTTGTACAAGTACGATGAAAAAAGCTTTTGAATCCTCGAAACAATGACACATAACATGCTTAAAAATTGCCATAATTTAAGACAAATTATGTACAGTTACGTGAGGAGATCTGCAATAACCCAGTAAACATGAGCATTCTTTGTGGCCTTCAGCAAGACAACCCTTCCAATATAAGCAAAATAATCATGGTTGGTACCTCTATATCATTCCCAGACATATTGCTAAGTGATGTGGCTAACGGTATTAGCAGCTAACCCTGCTAACTACCTGTGGATTTCTGGGCTCTGGTGTCGGGCCTCGTGCTCCACAGCCGCTGTCTGATAGACCGTGAAGCGCTGGTGGAGGGACATAGCGGCTGGCTGGAAGTGGCGCTCTGCGGGCGGCAGGGGGCACAAGTGATTCAGTTAGATCGACATCACCCGTAGGGGCCGATCTAGCGGAGGAAAGAAGCACATCTTACAGAAGGTTAACTTTATACACTGCAGGCATGAACGCTCAAAGTATCTCCCCCATCTGACTAATTGGTTAGCTTGTTCGTTACAGGAATAGCATAGGAAATTGTTTACATGCCATTGTAATCATGAGAATGACGATTCCATATGACAATTCTTAATCAGTATTATTGACAAGATTTAAATCGATATCCACTGTTTAACATCTAATAAAGATCTTTCAATACTGCAATTACAAACTGAACAAACGTGACTGTACCTTGAATGATCTACAGTAGTTTTACATATACACAATATATACAGTTTTACATCAGTCACATATTGCAGCCACGTCTGACACATTTACATAAGTCTGGAGAGTTCATAAACGAAAGAAGCTTTTTGTTAACAAGTCCGGTTTTCAACTTACCGCCTCTTCGTCTCAAAACCAATGCCTAACAATCGACTCGGTCACTACCAGAGTAGTGCGTCAATCAAACCCAACATGGGGAAGGAGGCCATTTTGGAGCTAGCAACTGATTTTACGCCAGGGACACGGGGGCTTCAACTGTGCCCGTTTCCGCATCGGTATCTCTCAAGTGTAATTACAGTAACATGGACCTTGGCATTGCAATGCCCATTCCCGGACTGGCATGACCTATTCGCAATGAAAGAGAGAACATCACTGTGCAGACTGAACTGCATTTCCCATCAGCCCCTGCACATCGCCACTGCAGAGTACCACTGAGCTATGAGTCCATCATATCCACAAAAGACTGAAAAAAACATTACAGAAAGGTATAGGAAATGTATTATATCACTTACAGAAAAACTGAATGCAAAGTCATATCTGAAATATGAATAACAGCGAAGCAACATTGCTCTTCAAGAAATAAGTAATCTTACACGTAACAACAGTGAGGGACTTGTTGAGGTACCTCTGACATGATGGACCAAGGACACTACGTGGTGAGCGAAGGCCTCAGCCGTGCTTTTGTAGGCCTGAGGCTGAGTGATGTGGTGGAAGATGGAGCGGAAGGCCTGCTGCTCTTTCCTGGCTGAGCAGGCGAGGGCGCTGGCGAGCGAACGGTCCCCGGCTATCGAGATGCTTGGGCTGGGGAGGAGGACAGGCAAGCAGTCATCGTGTGTCATTCAGCCCCTACCCCCCCCCCCCCCCCCCCCCCATTTTGTAAAAAACACGACTCACCTGGTATCTCCCAAGTCCAAGGAAGTCATTTTCATTCTAACCTGTGGCCGGCCGCAGTGGCTGGGCCCGGCTCTGGGGGCACTGTCCCCCCTCCCGTCTGAGGGTCCGGCGTTCGGTTGCTGCGGCGATGCCATTCCGCTCTCGGGTTGGAGGCCCTGCTCTTTGGCCTTCAGCAGCCGCTCGGGCTCCCTGCCCAGCCTGAGACCCTTCGCAGTGTCCCGCGTCCAGGCTCCCTCCCGGGCCTGGCCCGCCACCCTGAGCTGGTGCGGCTGCCTGTAGGCCTGGACCTCGTCCTCCTCCTCCACCTCAGGCGAGTCCCCCAAGAAAGGCACCTTCTCGGCCCTGCTTTTAGTCCCCGAGTCCAGGTTAAGCTCTAGCTCCATGTCCAGTCGGCTCCACTGGGCCCTTTCTGAAAGCGGCACCTTCTGGGGCTCGCTCTGCCGCCCTACTCCCTGATCCTGAGAAAAGACAGCATCTCCACCCTCTTGTAGACACCTGCCCAAAAGGAGGAAGTCACAGCTGTTCATGGAGAATGTGCACCTTCTGACATGACACTCACACAATCCACATTCAAAATGTTAACTGGTATATGTACAGACATTGGGAGAAGGGGTACCTTTTGAAGTATTTGCCCACTTTTGAGAGGTCTTGCTCATCACTCTGTGGGAAGAAAACCTTGCTGCCAGACGGTGCAGAAGAATGAGCCAGCAGTTCAGAGTGGGAGGAGCTTTGGCTGGGGGGACTGGGCACAGGGGAGGGGCTTCGCTGCGGGCTGTTGTCCCCATAGGCTGAAATGCCCATCCAACCCTCAGAGGGTGGGGCTAGCGGTATTGTGGCAACACCTCCCCTTGTTGCTGCCCCTACATGTTCTTCCCCTGGTCCCTCTGGCTTCCCGCCAGCTGGTGCCGAAGAGCGGTTGCGAGGGGTTGAGGAAGACGAGGAGGAAGAGGAGCGGCCGGAAGCCGAAGACCGTCCAGAGTGACGGGACTTGCTGTGAGACCTCTGGGAGGTGGACCTGCGTTTTGGGGACCGGGACCGAGAGCGGCCCCGCCTGGGACTGCGGGAGTAGCGGCGGTTTTGCCAGTTGGGCCGGAAGCCTCCGCGGTGATGGAAGCGACCCCCGCCTTGGTAGTAGCCCCTGCCCCGGTTGCGGAATCCGTAGGGACGCCTCATGCCTCTGCTGGGGCGATAGTCCCGCCGATACTCCCTAGGGTAATTCCGTTCCCGACTGCGGGAACGAGAGTAGGACCGTGAACGGGACCTGGAGCTGCAGGCAGAAAACAACATGCCTCAGTAGTTAGACACTGCACTGCTTCAGACAACACCGAAAAGCCAACACAAGACAGGCACGCCACAAAGAGCGCGCGCGCGCACACACACACACACACACACACACACTCTTCACCTGTATCTCTTCTTCCTAGAGCGTGACCTTGACCGTGACCTAGTGGTGGAGTGAGATCTTGACCTCGATCTGGAGGAGTGAGTGTGGGACTTCGACCGAACCATGTTTATAACCTTAAAGAAAAAAAGATTTTCTATTTCTACATTAGACCTTATTAAATCTACACAAAATAATGTATCTCGGATTCTCAGTCTTTAATGGTAAAAATTACGGTAATTTGTTGTCAACTGCCACAAAGAATGTAAAAAAGACAATAAAATAACTTTTTTCCCCACGGTTACGCTGTGTATTTTTTGCTTTGACTGTACTGATAACACGACAGAGTACCAGATGCAACCAACTAACTAGCAAGGTGACATCATATTACTTTTCATTTAAATAATTAAGAGGATTTCAAAAATAACCGACTGGAAGACGATCGCGTAATTTATTATTCATCTACGCGTTTCAATAATAAAAAATACCACGAAAGCAGAACTTTAAAAAGCAAAATAAAACCGTAGGCATGTCAACCATTTTATGTTGAAGACCGGGATCCGCACACCGGTCTGAGTGAAATAGGGACGGGTCAGTTTGGATATATACCCAGTTAACAACTTAACGATCAGCCCGATCGCGGCTACGCTGCTGGTGGCACAATCCATCTACACCCTCCCGTCATCCGAAGGGACCCTGCACATTAACTACAATAATATAACATCTACAGTCTAATAAGCACATCTAGCTGATCAATAACACTCCATTATCTTTCTCTTTTATTAATCACCAAGCTGTCGCAAGATTAGATTACCGTATACGGCAGCTTTATGCTAAATATTTTAGGTCTGTAGAAAACAACCGGTTCTCATGCAGCGGACAGGTCCAGTAGGGTAATGCATGCAATAAAAAAAACGAATTAGATGTTATTACCGTCTAAACCCGCAGTAACACGTCCGTCTCATACAGTGCACTTCAGTCCATTTGCAAGCGTGACCAAGATTCTGCTCATCAGATGCAACATGGAAAGCGGGTTTAATAGCCTACCTACGGCCCATTTACGCATAAATATAGACAAAAGCTGTAACTTCCGAGGCTTACCCGGGACACAGTGTAAGCCTGCCCCGCCATCTTCAGACTGGAGGCTGTACAACATCTATCATTAAGTACTGCACGCTGTTCAAATACATCCATCCATCCATCCATCCATTGTCCAACCCGCTTATCCTACTGGGTCGCGGGGTGTTCAAATACATATTTAGGGTATTTTACTTTTGATATAAAATTATTTATAGGTTATAATTCCCTTCAAAACGCAATCATCGTTTCATGTAACGCATGCTCTTGTAATATGTAATTTGGTGATGTAAAAATCCGTGAAATATTGCATGTATTTATGATTTTATGCTATTTATCTTAGACATGGGTGTTACTTATCATGAATCTCGATTTGTGGACTGTTTCCTGTTAATACAGCTGGTGGTTGCTCACACCGTATTTGCTTAGTGATATTTCATCATTTCAAATGTATGTTTAAATCTGGTAAAATGAGGGTCCAGGGGCGGATCTGGGGAGGGGGCAGTGCCCTCTTGACCACATGCATGGCTCTCCCTGTGGCCCCCCTAAATATGTATGCTGCTTGTGTCTGAAATAAATGTATTATTATTATTATTATTTACCTGACTATTTACATTATATACATTGGTAAAAAGCAAAATTAACATCAGAAAAAAAGTAATCAAGTTTGTGGGAGCAAGAAATCAGATTGAGTTACAAATTTGTAAAAACTATAAAATGTAACTGCAAAGCATTACATCAATACCACCTGTTTTCAGAAATGTACTTTGCTTGTAGATACTGGCAATCTAGTGTAAGTAACACTTGGAGGACATTAAGGTCAAATGTATCTGCCCCCCCTAACAGCACAACTGACCCCAGTCTGACCCCCCAGTTGAAATGGTCTCGATCCGTCACTAAGTCCATTCGCTTTTCAAAGCAGGTAAGAGCTTCACAGGCAGCACCAGCTCCAAGGCACGGCAGCAATTAAAGCATTTAGAGATGCCAATAATTGCTGTCCTTTTCTTTATTTGACTTCCTCTGCTGCCCCCGGGAGGATGGGCTCCCCCTTCCAATCTGGTTCCTCCGAAGGATTCTTCTTGTTACCTCTGGCTTGCTCACTGGAGGCTTTGGGCAGGGATAAAGTAAAGTGTATATCATCCACACGACACAGCCTGCCTCTGAAATCATCATTATGGAAGGTCCTACTTGCCTGACTTGAGAGGATTTCCGGAGCTTTGGTTTGCGCAGGGACATGGAATTAAATGTAAGCAGAGAAATTCCGTAATCCCAATGCATATGACAAGTAATTGAGATTACTTATTTTATGTTTGTTAATCACTAAATTAAAATAAAACTGTTTCCTAATTGATTTTTATCCTTTTAATGCCTGCCTGAGGTTTATGCATGGGTATGGTGCAGCTGTGTTTGGGTAAGGTTGTTTTATATCTGTATAATAAATGCATATGAACTGCAAGTAATTATCATAATATTTTGACCATTGTAGGGGAAAGATGTGTACATTGAGGATATGTACATTGTGCCAACATGAAAGAATGTGCAGACAGACCAATTTGTTGGCTTTCCTGTGAGTTTGCCTTATGTCACACATAGAACAAAAAAGAAAAATTAACGGACTTTACCTGTAATTTTTAATTTATGAGAATGATTTGCATTTGAAGGATGCTGTTGTATGTTCTCCCCATGGGGTTTCCTCCAGGTGCTCCCCTGTGTGCGTGTGCGTGTGCGTGTGCGTGTGCGTGTGCCCTGTGATGGGTTGGTGCCCCATTCTGGATTGTTCTGGAACCCTGAATAGAACAAGCGGTTTCAGAATATGGATGGATGGATGGATGGATGGAAGCCGTTGTCTTCCCAGCATGGAGTGGTATGAGTGGATCTGAGTGCTATTTTTTTATGTGTAAGTTTTTTTACAGTTCACATTTTAAGGGCCCTTTCACACTAGAAGTGTTTGGTTTGTAATACTGTGAAACATTTATTCATTTGTGGTAGTATACACTCACCTAAAGGATTATTAGGAACACCTGTTCAATGTCTCATTAATGCAATTATCTAATCAACCAATCACATGGCAATTGCTTCAATGCATTTAGGGGTGTGGTCCTGGTCAAGACAATCTCCTGAACTCCAAACTGAATGTCAGAATGGGAAAGAAAGGTGATTTAAGCA